CGTTTTGGTTGACGTAGCTGCCTTGCAGTTTCATTTTGGCCTTTAATTTCAGAAACAAATATAGCAAGCTTTTTATTAATAGGAAATCACATGCAGGAAGAGGTCAGCTGATCGTCACGAACAGTTTATAGCGGATCTCTACAGTGGCCCTACATGCCACGTAGTAGGAAATCGTAGTTAAACAGATCGCTCTCCTATGGTGGCCCAAAAGTGCCACGGCAATTTCAATTTGATCACGGAAATTTAACCACGGCAATTTCAATTTGACCACGGCAACTTCAAGTTAACCACGGCAATTTCAATTTGATCACGGCAACTTTACTTTCACCACGGCAATTTTCAATTTTTGAGCTCGGCAATTTCAAATTGAGCCACGGCTCAAGTTGTCTCGCGACACAGTCAGCGGAATTAAAAATATTCCCAAGGTACCTTGCGCAACTAACGCGGATTTGAAGAGTATTAATGGAGCACTGTGATTTCGCAAAACACCGTAAAACACCGTAAAACTCACTAGAAGACACACTCGGCGATGTCTCGACAAAATATTGGTGCATAGAACTCGCGATCGACGTACAACGCGGTAACAAGATTGGCTGCATTCCACAAAGTAAGTATAATTAACACATGAACCTTTTTTGTGTTGCGTTTCTAGAAAGCGCTTAACTGTTTCAAAACAAATATGATTAGTTTGATATTTCGTGTCAAGATATAGATAGCGCCGATTGGACCAAAGCATTACATGACACGGCATAGTACAAAGTACAAAGACAAAGCGAAGTTAAAACCCAACACACCTCTCTGACCTTCTTTAATTCTCTCCTGTTTCATTGTACAGCCAACACACACCCATCTGCGCGATGAAGTTTGGCGGAGTGATACTGGCAATATGCATTGTTGGAGGTGAGGTACTTTAAAATGTATCTAACCGAGTCTCAGTTTTCATATGACTGTCTAAATGAAATATATCTACATAACAAAGAACTAACAACTATTGCAGTACAGTAGATGTTTAGCGACGTATGTGTCCAGCTTATTTTTGAACTTGTAAGGAATTAAACTCCAACCTCTGGCTTTAAGTGTACAAGATGGAGGCATAGCAGTTGATGAAATTTCAAATAGAGGGAGCATCCTTGTTTATCAGCAATTTCCGTGAGGTTAAGTTAATTTAGCTTTCCTCCATGGTTAATATAGATGGCCTTCCCTCCGCAGCGAGAACGGGTACCCTCTACTGATCCACATAACTCATTGCTCTTTTGGCATTAGTACATTAATTAACTGCTTATTTTCAAACAACACATTAAGAAATAACGAATAAATACCGATTTCACTCCGAGCTTTGATTTTAAAATCAAACTACGCATTTTCTACACCAGCCCTTTACGTAATCGACTCTAGTATTGCGTTACTATGCGGCAGGTCCAATCTTTTAACGACCACACAAGGATGCCTAAGTTCTGTCGATGATTTACGACGATTTATTACGAGCTATTCCGCAAAGAACAATTCCTTGCGACATTTGGTATCGGAAATTCACCCATTAATGCCAAGAGGTAGCATAGAATATGTCAAGAATTTTGTGTACAGAAGAATGCGTACCGTTGCGAAATAAGGGGGCATCTCTCGTCCACTCGAAAACAGTTGAAAGCTTGCT